CTCAGCGGCACATGGCAGGTCTTGGCAGTGTGGTGGCTCTCAGCCTGATCTCTTCGCGGCTCATGGTGGGTCCTGGCCTGGTCTCTCAGTGGCTTTTGATGGGTCCCAGCCTGGTTTCTCAGCGGCTCTCAGCCTGGTTTCTCTGCGCTTTGTTGGTTGGCAGTATTTTGGTTTAACGTGTGAGTGATCCTACCTGGGCATGTTCCTGAGGCACCGGGGTAGATCGGAGAGGCAGCAGTTTCAACAGCAGCGACAGTATCTGCTGCGGTGGCATCAAGAACAGACAACAGAGTGAGATAAGCGGAGGACTCATCAAAGATTGTTGAACTTTTAACTTATTCCTTTATTTTCCTAGTTTAGACTACGAAACGCTTTATGTAAAGTATTACCTATTTCTTTATTTTTCTACTATTCTATGATGTAATGCTTAAGTTTTTAATTCTCATTTCTCTTATTACTTTGTAGCTAAGCATTTTTGTACCTAGGTATCTTGGTACCTAAGATGGCGCTATGTGTGGCAACATGATACACTTTTCACTGTACACCTGTACTACTGTACTTGAGTGCACGTAACAATAAAATCTAAAATCTAAATATTTAAATGTCCAAAGTTCTAGTGTTATGCCTATGCCAAAGACAGTCATATCCAGACAGCATGCAGGAGTACAGAAAACAATACTGCTCCATGTCATGGCAAAGTTTCACATTTCAGTCATGCACCGCACTGAGTTTATGGTAGATCTGAAGCTGATCCAGGAGCCAGGAAGCCCTCAAATACACATATGATAGATATAGAAACAAAGGTTAATGTTATCAAATAGAAACATTAAGAGTTTCACTCAGCATCAGAAACAGTGCATGGAAAATGATGGTAATGGGGTTGACGATAAAATTCCAATGGTCACAATAACACTGGAAGTCAGAGACTTACAACTTATTTTCACCATTGTTATAGCTGCAGCAGCATCTGCAGACTCTGGAGAGTGTAAATAATCCCTAATTCATAACCTCCAATACAAAATTGGTATAAAACTGATGAGTTACTCCATCAGTAATATTCCAGTCTTATGTGAATTTAATGTTAAGAGTGGAACATGATGATGCATCATGTTTCTTTCTTTGAAAGTAGAAGGAGGGAACACAGGAAGGAATTGGGTTAAGAAAATATGCTTAAATTGGGCTGCATTTTTTACAGTAGGGATCACTAACAGCATGACTGATATCAAGGAACTGTGAAAACAGGACAAACAGGTCTTTGAACAAGAAGCCTAAATGTTAAAATTTGGTATCAGAAGACCAAAGTCAAGATAAAAGACAACACACATTTTGCAAATCTATGCAGGTGCTATCCATTCACAAATAAAAGAAGAACTGAATAGATTTGAGAGAACAGATACAATTAAAGATAGTGAACAGCAGTGAATGGGCCTCACCAACTGTAGTAGTTCAGAAGGAAATGAGTCTGGCTGGATATGTGGAGACAAATGTTAAATAATGTGAATTATACTTATCTGTAAGTAAAGATTTGTTTTCTAACTTGTTCAATGGAAAAAAAAATGTTCAGTAAGGTAGATTCTTCAAATGCCTTTGTCAATTATAATTAACTGACATGAGCAAGGAACTGCGTAAGATTCATACATGCAAAGGTAGTGAAATGAGATGAAAGAAGTGCGCTGCTTCTTAGATGACTTTCTCATTGGCAAAAGACAGAGAAAGTGGAATATTGTAAGTTTAAGATTCACTTCAAGGGTATGGCACCAAAATTAAAAAGCACAACTGTTGCTTCATGATTGTTAAGTTTTTTAACCACTGCATTGCCTGTGAGATACTTTACATACTTTACATAATTTGATATAAAAATTATATGGCAGAGAAATTAGTGAAGAAACTTGCAATGATGTGATACTCATTGAAGACCTCAATTATGTCATGAATGATTGGTCTAAAGAATATGATGACGAGAAACTACAGGAGTATTTCACATATACTGCAGATTAAGGCTATTTCTTATGGAGTTAAGGAATAATTATACTGCCACTGTTTGAAGATTATTTGAGGCATTAGAACAAGAGTACACGAGTATAGTCAGGGCCCTTGTCGTGCAGTCATAGTTTCCCTACCTCAGGGTCAGAAGGTTCAGTTTCAAGTCCTACCTGGCCTAGGAATCTGTCATAACATATCTAAACAGGTTGGTTAAAAATATCTACATAGAGATAGTTTGTATGAGAATAACAACAAGAACCTATTTTCATAATAAAGATAGATGAGAGCTGTTGATGAGTGGGCAAAAAATTATAAATTGTGTCTCAGAATGATTCAACCAAGGTTCCTTTCATTTAATGATTAAACATGATGGGAACGAATGCATGTCAATTTCTTTGAAATGGAACTGGAAGTGTGACTTGTTTTGTTTGAAAGCTATAAAAAAAATGGATATTTGTTGAGTCTGTGCCCAATATCATTGAGGTTTTGAGAAGGTCATTTGCAATTTGTGGGTTACCAGAGGTCATGGTGTCCTGACAATGGTCTTCAGATTATATCCAAACAGTTTGAAGTATTTTTGAGCAAGAATGGAATCAAATATACCCTAACACCACCATATCCCCCAGCATTAAACGGTGCTACGGAAATGAATTTACAAGTTGTGAAAAGGTCTTTGCAGAGGTATTTGTTAGGTAACAAGCTAGGGAATGATTTATGTGATTGCCTTTGACACAGGCTCAACAATTTGCTGACCTCTTACAGAATAATTCCACAGTTTATAATAGGTTGCCCACCTTATGAATTACTTTAAATATATTCCTAGGACAAGGTCTAATTTACTTATGACCAAAGAGAAATGCAAAACAAAATGCAGTTGTGTCATACATGATTCTTGAAACGTGGAAAGTACGATGCTGGTCAGAAGATCACGGTGAAAAGCTGCTGAGATGAAAACGATAACTATGTGATTGGAATTGTTGTGAAGATACTAGGTACATTCAGATATCTAGTGAAGATTTGAGAGAAAGTTCAATCGTGCCATGTAGATCATGTACGTGAAAGAGGAAATCTGACAAAGAAAGTGAAATTTTGCTGGTATTACAGAATCCAGTGGTATTACAAAGTGAGCTATGTTTTTGATTAGGAGAAATCAACCAATGTTACAGTCCCAACCATTAATGGAGTTAGGGATGGTTCAGGTCTACTTTCCAGGAAGAAGTGGAAGGCCCTAAGACCATCTTGTTGGGGAATGAACATATAAAGGGATCACACGTCCCATGTTGGAGAGGAGGCGGCTGCTGCCTGCGAATTGGAAATGTTGAAACTGAAGTAAAGAGTCAGAAGATTCACAGATATTCTTGCCCTCATCTCACTTTCACATACTTAGAACTGCTACAACATTTGCATCTCACCACTTGTGAACACTGACATCTATTCAATTGTGGCAGAAAAAAACAGTATGCCACATTCACTAACAAATCCCTCTTTTTCAAGAGAAGCACAATCAGCAGTAACAACAGAATCTAGCCAGCAGAGCAGGCATGGCTGCACCTGTAAGAAGGAGACAAATGATTGTAGCCATTATGAGAATTGCCATCATTGAGGCCACAATTAGTGACCAGTTGAAAGCATTAAGAATGACTCATGTTCATGCCTAATGCACCATCTTGCATCGCAATTCACCCTCCCCAGTCTTTATGAATTATAATGTGCAGATGATTTAACCATCAATTTCTTCTTTCCCCAAATACACTTTTTTCAGCCCAAACTTGCCCTTGACATTGTATACTTTCAGATGCCCAAGAACTGCTGTCTGCCCTGTGGTGTGGGTGGCTGAAGGCAAACATTAGAAACATAAACATAAGTTTCTGGAAAAGCTCAGCAGGTCTGGCAGCATTTGTGAAGAAAAAATCAGAGTTAACGTTTCGGGTCCAGTGACCCTTCCACATGTCCCGAAATGTTAACTCTGATTTTTTTTTTCACAGATGCTGCAAGACCTGCTGAGCTTTTCCAGCAACTTCTGTTTTTGTACCTGATTTACAGCATCTGCAGTTCTTTCGGTTTTTAGCAAACTTTAAGAAGTTTTTGAAGAAAAAACAATGCCACTCAGCTTAAGGTTTGCATACAACAGCTTAATTACTGGCACTCTGCAAACTTTAGGCGTATTACAAAGGCCAAATCTACATGCAGTGAGTCACCAGGCACAAATAAACTGTGGCCATATCAGGAAGAAAGGATTCTGCAGGTGCAGCTCCTCCAGATGGTAAGGTTGCATGTAAATTCTAATGCAGGAGTTTCAGTGGAGACATTACTAGGACAGCCCATGGAAAAAGACTGATTAGCATGTATTATAAAACACTTGATATGCTTAAAGGCTAGCCAGAAAGTGTGGTGTCATTGTCAAACAGCACTGAGGAGTCTGGCTCCAATTTGCCATCACAGCAGCCTGCAGACCAACATTTCCTATGTAGAAGTAGTGTTCAACCCCATAAGTACATTGTTGGCTCATCATCCCAGGTGTAACCCCTGATATCTCAGCTTCCAATACAAGCAGTAGGTACCCAAGCCCTAATGTTGCAGTGGAATCACAGACTGAGGTCATGAGATTCAGGCTCGTTAGCATGCAAACTGGTACCATTCAGCCTCAGACTCACCGAAAGGTCTGAGAGGAATAGAGTTACAGTTGTAGGGGATTTCAACTTTGCTAACATTAACAGTGATTACCCTAGTATGAAAGGGTTAGGTGGGGTGGAATTTTTAAAATGCATCCAGGAAAGCTTTTGTGCTAGCAGAGATGGGACAGTGCTCAACCTAATCCGGGGAATGAAGCCAGTTAAAGTAGTTGAAGTTTCAGTGGGCAAGCATTTTGGGAATAGTGACCATAACTCTGCAAGTTTCAAAGTCATTATGGAAAGGGATAAAGATAGTGCAGAAGTTACGTGCCTAAATTGGAAGAAGGCTAATTTCAATATCATTAAGCAGGATCTGGCAAACATAGACTGGGAGCAGCTACTTTCAGCATTTGGAAGATGGGAGTCTTTTAAAAGTAATATAGGGATAATTCAGGGCTAGCATGTTCTGCAAAAAGTGAAGGGCAAAGGCAGCAAGTCCAGGGAACCATGAATGTCAAGGGATGTCAGGAATTAGATAAAGGCAAAAAGGGAAGCATATGTCAGGTCCAGTGCATTAAAAACTGGACAGGGTTTTCAAAAGTATAGACAGCATAGGGAGTTCCTTATAAAATAAATTAAGAGAGCAAAGAGGGGCCATGAAATATCTTTGGCAGACAGCATGATGGAAAACCCCAAGGAATTCTATTAGCATATTAAAAGTGAGAGGATTATCGGGAAAGAGTGGGGCCTATTAGAGACAAACTGTGAGACAGACTGTGTGTGGAACCAGAGGTCGTGGGCAAAGACTTAAATGAGTATTTCTTATGTGCATTCACAAAGAAGAAAGACATTATAGCTGGGTATGTCAGTTGGATGGTTCTAGGATATGCTAAGATTAATGTTTCAGCGGGCAGAGAAGGGTGCATAAATTGCAGGGCCTAATAAGATTTATCTCAGGCTGCTATAGGAGATGAGTAGGTGGCTTATCTACAGCAGTCCTCTGAGTGCCAGCAGTGTGGGCAATTTCTTCCTTAGCCAGCCAAAGAGCTCTCACAGTGAGAGGCTCACCAGATTGTAAACCCACACTTTCAATGCCTGCAGTTCCTCACTGAGGTGTCAGAATCGGGCTTGTCGGGGATGCAGGAGGCAGCCTTGCTTCCTCTGAGGTCTCGGTATGCTTATCCTCAGAGGTCCAGGAGGGTGGTTCCTCCGCAGCCGGCCGCTTCTCCACAGATACAGGGAGGCTTGCAGAACCTGCAAGACAAAAGAGAGAAAAGGCATCGTGGGCAGTGATTGGAATTTGTGGTTGATGACTGAAAGTGATAACAGGGTTACTGGGAGAATCGCAGTGGTATTTACTCATTTGGCAGGACATGTATGTCTCTGATCCCTGCAGGACCACTCTTGGTCCTGTTTTGCAGGGAGCCAGGGTTCTCTCCTCATAGGAGGTGAGGACCCAGATGTGGGAGACACATCCTCCCCTAATCCATACAGGCTCTTCTGCCCTGTTATGAGCTATCTTCTAATGTAATAAAAGAAATAGGGAAATGAGTGAAATGAGTGGGTGACATGGCTGTTAGTGCTGGTACATATGAGGGATAGGTGATGAGGTGCTCCTAACTACTGATGAGGCAGCAGGGTTAGTTGTGTGGGAGACTGAGGGGGCAGCACATGTGAGAAATTTGTATGGCAGGCAACAATGAAAGTGTTGCATGAGCCTTAGTGGGAGATGGGTACAGCAGCAGAGATAGAGGGAGAATGAGGTGGCAGAAAGAAGAGTGTAACACTTGCCCTGGCGGATCACAGAAGGTCACTGACCTTCTTTCTGCAATACTGGATACACCCTGGAAACAGCACTGATCCAGGTGGCAATATTTGGCTAGCCTTTCCAAGCCACTTCTTTGCACCACCCTGTCTACCAGGACCTCCAGGACCTTATCAGAGAAATGTAGTGTCATCTTCTCCATCTCTGCCACGTTCCAAACTTGTCCATTAATGAGCAGGGCAGTTTCAGAATGCCAGTGTTCTTCCGGGTTCCCTACTGCATTTAAAGTTGGTGCAGACACACGGCATGCTGGTCTTTGGAGTGGCTATTGAGTCACGAGTTGAATGGTGGGTAATAAAATGGGATGGAAACCAGGTGTGAGAGATGTTACAGGGGCATGGTAGATATTTAATGAGGCAAGTTGGATAAGATAGGGTGAGAAAACTTGCTAAGCTTTGCAGCAAAAATCCTTCCAAAAAGCTCAACGAAATTCAGAATTGGCAAAAAAAAGTAAGATTCAGTTCAGTGGATTTTTGATAAATTACTTCAGAAAAGAAACCGTTAACCCAAATTGCAGTGATGTGCTCGTTCACCTTGTTCAGAAATTAACTAAGTGATAGAAGTTAGAAAATAGAGATAATGAGAACACATTCAAGTTGGCAATCTGCTTTGAGGACTCAATTCTCTGTATTTATTGACCATTTATATAGAGAACCATACATCCAAGTTTTCCAATGACACTGGCATCGTGTAGATGGAAGCATAATTTATGAATGTCACATTGTAATTTTGAGGACAAACTTGTGAAAATGAATTTGATGTAGATAAGTGTGAAATTATCAACTCAAAAAGGATAAAACAGCATGTAATCCAATCGTGAATAGCGAGAAATAGTGAAGATCCAAAGACGCTGTGATGCTCACATAAATAGATTATGAAAATATCAAAGATAGGTATAGAAAATAATCAAAAGTTAAATCATGGCATTTAAGTTGACAGAAATAACATAAGATAGAAATCATTCTAATGGTGGTTGTGGTCGGTTGGCTTGCTGAGCTGGTTCGTTGTTCTGCAGACGTTTCATTACCCTGCAGGATAACATCATCAGTGCAGTATCCAATGAAGCGCCGTTGTGTTTTCCCACCTGTCATTTAAACTCTAATATCCATTGAGCTGGGTTACCTCACTTCCAGTTTTCCTTCAAAGTGGAGTATATGGTCTAGCTCTATGTGCTTGTTAATGGCCTTCTTAGTGGAGAACCAGGCTTCCTGTGCTTGTCCGTGCTTGGCCTGTCCCAGGATCCTGGTGGTGTCCCAATTAAACTGGTGGTTTTCCTTATCCATGTGGATGGAGTTGAGTGAGTATCGGTCGTGGGTATTGGTCGGAGAATTCCTAACAAAGGTACACAGGAAAGCCACACACACTGACCAAGTACTGAATTTCAATGGGCAACAACACACTGCAGCAACACAAAACTACGCCAAAAAGAAGAAGGGGCAGCACGGTGGCTCAGTGGTTGAGGACCCAGGTTCTATTCCACCCTCGGGTGACTAACTGTGTGGAGTTTGCACATTCTCCCTGTGTCTGCGTGGGTTTCCTCTGGGTGCTCCGATTTCCTCCCACAGTCCAAAGATGTGCAGGCTAGGTGGATTGGCCATGCTAAATTGCCCATAGTGTTCAGCAATGTGTAGATTAGGTGGGTTTAAGGGGATGGGTCTGGGTGGGATGTTCTGAGGGTCGGTGTCGACTTGTTGGGCCAAAGGGCCTGTTTCCACACTGTAGGAATTCTATGATAAAGTACATCCTCCAAGTATTCAAGGACAACGGATACCCGAAAAACTGGGTCAGAAGATGCCTATTACACAAACGACACCAGGAAAATACTGCATGCCCCGACACACTCACCACGCTACCTTACATCAAGAACACATTTGAACTGACCACAGGACTCCTACGACCACTGGGCATCAGAGTATCACACAAACCCATATCAACCCTACGTCAACTGCTAACCTGAGCCAACAGGACCAACGTAATATACAAGATCCCCTGCAAAGACTGCAACAAACATTACATTGGACAGACAAGAAGAAAATAAGCCACAAGAGTACACAAACATCAACCAGCAACAAAAAGACACGACCAATACTCACTCATCTCCATCCACATGGATAAGGAAAACCACCAGTTAGATTGGGACACAACCAGGATCCTGGGACAGGCCGAGTACAGGCAAGCACAGGAGACCTGGTTCTCCACTAAGAACGCCCTCAACAAACACATAGGGCTAGACCCTATATATACTCCACTGTGAAGGAAAACCAGAAGTGAGGTGACCCAGATCAACGGACACCAGAGTTTAAGTAACAGTAACACAACAGCGCTTCATCAGCGGCTGCACTGATGATGTTACCCAGCAGGGCAGTGAAATGTCTGAGAAACAATGAACCAGCTTGGCGAGCCAACCAACCACAACATCCACAACCCGATCTACAAATCTACTCAAAAACCACATTCTAATGTTCTATAAATGTTGTTAGACTACCCCTGGATTGTTTTGTTCAGTCCATGCATGACGTCTTAGAAAAGATATATCATTCTGTAAATTTATTAGAATAATAACAGGACTTTGAAGCTTTAAATAAAAGGAACACTTACATAAATTAGGATTGTACACCCTGGAATTTTGAATTTTGGGGTAATATGATTATAGTTTTTAAGATGTTAAGGGGAAATGATGGTGTGGTTTCTCTGGTTAGAAAATCCAGAATGAGAGGATATAGTTTAAAAATTAAAGCCAGACCTTTCAGAAAGTAGGTTAGAAAACACTTTCACATGGTGTATTTGAAGTTTAGAACTCTCTTCCATAAACAGCAACTGATGTTAGATCAGTTGTTTATTTAAAATCTGAAATTGATAGTTTTTTGTTTGTAAATCAAAGGTACTAGGGATTTGAGGCAAAAGCAAGCACTTCGAAATAGCTTACAAATCATCAATAGCCTAATTGAATGGTGTAACAGCCTCAAGGGGTGATTGGCATGCCCTATTCCCATATTCCTATGATCCATCATAAGTTTAAGAGCAGCGCTTTCCATTATACTTGGTGCTATTTGAAAAACAACAGCAGGTTCTTTTGTTAAATCTCTGGTGTTACACAGCCTCCGCATTCAATAGATAGAGCTGCTCATCTGCTTTCATTAGTGCTGCTCCAGAAAAAGGTGGTATATCACCAGGTCATGAAAAGACTGCCGTATTAATTCTCTTTTCTTCTCTGTGAAGTAGCATTTGCCCTTCCCATGGCAGATCCCTGTGGTGACACTGTCAAAATAAGGGGCTCAATGTACCTGACCTGTTAAGTACCAAAGCTTACTTAGCATGTTGTGGCACAGCTGAAGTAGCCTGAACACACTATGTTACTGTATGATCCCTTCCAGATTTTATTGCCTTTACAAGATGCACAGGAGAGAAGGCCTGTGGCTGGTTGTATTACTTTACAAATTCAAATCCTAAGCATCAATCACTCCCTTAATTCATCACATTACTTTATTTTTATGGGACATCTGACAGCATTTTGAGTAACTATCACATGGTCTTTATGTTCTCTGTAAACATACCTAGCATTGCATGAACTGCGAATAGATTTCAAATTCCACTGCTGACTGATAAAATAAATCTATTAACTTGTGGCTGATGTTAGAAACCTTGATCTCTGCCTTCCAGCTGAGAAGGGGCCGACACTTAAAACACAAATTCTACCCAGGTTTCACCATTTACTCCACATTTACCAATGCCCTATTTCTGAGGATAATCTTAACCTGGATGAAGAATACACAAGTGAAAGTCTGGTAGTTCTCTAGTGACAGTAATGACAAGAAAATGACTGTTAAATCAATACAAAGTCACTGCAAATGAAAAGAAGTCACATTTCACATTGTCATTGTGTTTGATAAAATTCACTTTAATGTAATAGTTTACATTATTACTCTTATGTTTAATTGAAGTCAGATATATGAAAAGACCATTTGACTTAATTAAGTATTAAGTGAACAAAATAGAAATTTTATGCATTGTACTGCATGATACGGAAGCTGGTGGACCCCATGTGGTTCACAGTGACCACATTTGCAGCAAATGCTGGCTGCATGAGGAATTTGATATTGAGTCTGGAAGGCTGCAGGGTCCCCAAGCGGAAAATGAGGTGCTGTTCTGCCAGCCTGCGCTGAGTTTTGCTGGAGCACTGCAGCAAGCCTAAGACAGAGATGTTGGTCAGGGAACAGGGTGGGTGTTGAAGTGGCAGCTAGCTGGAAGTTCAGGGCCTTCTTTGCGAACAGAACGCAAGTGTTTCTTGAAGCATTTACCCAGTCTACACTTCATTTCTCCAACATAGAGGAGACCACATTGTGAGCAACGAATGCAGTAGACTAGATTATGTGAAGTGCAGGTAAAGCGCTGCTTCACCTGGAAGGTGTGTTTCGGCCCTTGACTACTG